GGAGCTTAAAGTGGGCAAGAAGCTTAAAGTTCTCCAGCCTGGATGAAATCATCTATAGGGGATAGAAGGAAGAAGAAATGAGATACTTCAATGAAGAACATAGTAAGAAAAGACAAGTAAGAAAGACTGCCAAGGTGGACTGGTGCCACACAGCCTAGCCCAAACCTAAGCATCCAGGAACAGCAACCATGCACAGAAGAAGCAAGAACTTATAGTAGAATATGAACCTCAAAGAACAAGCACAAAGAGATGACAAATGGGATAACAACATCTGGAACTGAGAAGAACTGAAGGACACAGTACACACTACCCTATTTATCCATGTATCCTTCCTCCCTAATGCTTGATACATGTGCTCTACAGATACCAAGAAGGCAAAAACACTAATGTCTGATGCCAGTGTGTGCATGCACAGAGTACATGTGCACAGAGTACACAACCAACCACCATGTGAATGTGCATGTTAACTACCACTCAAAGGACAAAGTGGGACCTTGAAAGATTCATACCATGTGTCCCAAATGATGCCTTCTGTTTTTTCTTATGTAGGCCATTAACTTTTACCTAAGTTTCTATTAGCTGATAAATGCATAGATCTTGTTTGCTAGAAAGTTTTAAAATTTTTCTCCCCAAAAGCTCAAACTTTTAACATTTCAGAACAATCAAGTAAATGACCATGATGTAAGTAAAATTAGATAAGACATGAAAACATAATGTTTTCAGATGGTAACTGGCTAAGAACACAAAGCTGTGACAGATCACGTTATAGGAGGACTAAGATGATTGTCTGCATCTACTGGAAATGCATGGCTAGATCTTAAGGTACGCATGAAATAAAATTAACATTTTGTAAGCATGGGCACACCTATGCAAGTCAGATCAGCTTGACTATACTTTCTACTTCACAGGTGGCTTCCCCCTCAAATCTCTAACTCACTTAAAATGACAGTATCTACAAAAGAGGAACATAATTTAACTCTAAGAATTACAAACGCTATTTCTCACAAATTTTTGCCCATTGTTCAATTAAATACTTCTGCAATGTTATAAAATTAATCAATCTTAAAACTAGATCTTTGAAAGCATAACATAATGCACATCTAACATTTTTTTAGAGACGATATTTTCACTGTAACCATGCTGCATGACTAAAGTTGTGAGAAAGTTCTGAATTTAAGCATTTCAATAATTTTTTAAGTAAACTTTTGCTTTCAACACTGTAGCTATCTTTTTCTTTTGTGTGGACAAACATAGTTGCAGATATAAAATTTGATAGTTGCAAATATAAAACTGCATCTGAACTCCACATGCAGACAAAAGCTATATGATCCTCCAAGGTAAGTACATAAAGAAAAGTTATATCTAGTATTACCAAGAGCAGCTAAAAGATTTTCAGTTTATGCCTTCAACATTCTTGTTTTTCCATAGCAAAGCCAGATTAAACTGTAATTATTAAAAACAACAAAACTTGAAATAGATACTTTAAAAATATTTTGAAAATGTGAATTGGATTTATCCTCAACAAGACTAGTTGTCTAGTGATGAGAAATCCCTGCAAATCCCACTGAGTTTACAGAACAAAGGGTCTACTTGAGAACATCTATTGTAGGTTCTGAAATTTGTTTTTACTATAGACAAAAAAAAAATCCCTTTGTACCCTCACTCAGAACTGATTTCATGCTCCCAGTCACTAGATTCTCTACAATAAACCTCTACCTGAAATGAAGACCTGTAATCTCATGCATAAATATTACTTTAAAACAAAATTTAAACAATTCAAGCACCAGAATTTGCTCTCGTGAAACTTGTTTAGACTTCAATGAAAGGAACTGAATATGAGCAGAGCAGTTTTTAAAGAAAATAAATTATATTTTACATAGAAAAACAACTACAGAAAAATCCAATTTATATTAGAGATAGGGATTTTGAGTTTCATAAAATCGAGACAAAGTTAATACATCACAGAAACTCGTGAATAAAACAATCTCATTACTCCCAGGATATTCGTTACATCTGACTGAAAGACATCATGGCTTTTTAATATTTCTTTCCTTGGTTGCATTGAACTTGATGTCTTTGATTCCAAGTTTCTTCAATAAAATTCTTGGTTTATACACATCAAATAATAACATATGATGTCCTCAAAATAATATCAGAAGCACTTACTCATCATACTTGATATGATAAATAGCTTCTTCATCAGTGTCCATACAGTCTGAGTAAGATGTGGATGGTGTACTGTCCAAATTATTTGCATTCTCTCTAGAATGGTCTTGACTTAAGTTTCCATTAGTTCTTTTGTAAGAATTGCCACTCTTTACTTGAGCTTTACCATTCTTACGTCCTTTTGTTGCTCGAGTAACACTTTCTATATGAGCTTCAAACCAGGCTCCAATGCTGACATCACGGGCATCCACCAATTCGTTTATCTAAAAGGAAAATTTGATAATGAATATTTATTTTCTATAATCCTGGTTAAGAAAAAAAAGGAAAACTGACTGAACTATTTCACTATCAGTGAAACAAATTCAACACCGTTGACTTCAACTGGTTGGACTTGCATAAGTTAGAGCAACATTCAGTCATTCAGGTGTTGTGCTTTAAGCATTTTATTCCTGTACTCTTAATAAGATCTGTTATGAATACAATTTGTAAGCAATTTATTTTAAAAAATTGAGGCTGATTTTTTTAACCTACAAATTAGCTTAATCTGTCTTTCCACTGATCTTTTTCTTGTTTCATAGAATTGTTCCTTATGACTAAAATAAGCACATATACTTCTAGAGGTTTAAAATATTAGCCCACAGCCAGGTTTTAAGATTTCACTGGGCCTCCAAATTGAAATTATTACTTAACCCCATTTCTTTTTGACCTGCACTGCTTCTGAATCCTTCAAAGTTTGAGAAAGAAGGGGACAGAGAGAAATGGGCTCTCCAAGTCTAACAAGGCTGCTACCATAACCAATCAAGACTGATGCTTCCATAAATCTTTCAACTGTAAGAAACAGAATTCTCTCATGACCCTTCTCCTTTCTGTACTCACAATAATACTGCTATTAAGTAATGAAGCTACTCTACTATTTTAAAGCATGTTTCATTCATTCATTATCCTAACACATTTTCTCAAGCCTTCAACTAATTAAATACGTATTACTTCAACAACACAAGGTTTTCCCTATGATTAGAATTAAGCCACTGGGGTATACAGCGCTTCAGTTACACAGGCATTCTTTTAAAAACTGTACTGTGTAAAAAGTTACTTTCTTTGAAATATTAACTTGATTAAAACAGTGTCTATAAAAGAATCACTTAAGGAACACCTCTGTACACTGTACACCAAATATTGCAATAGAACATTATTGCAATAGAAATATAAAGAAGCCATACCAAGTGAAGATAAAGCACATGGAAGAGGACTATAAGATGAAAATTAAAAGTAAATTCTAAAAATGCTCAGAATGGGTTCAATTAACATAAAATCAAATTGGAGGAACTGGTTTTTACCTACAGAGCTCATTTCAGAAGTAATATTTTAACAGGAATGTTTCATGGCTGTATTTATAGTATTGTTTGCAAAAGATCCTTTTCTTCTAATTTTTTAAAAATAAATAAAGATCTTCTAAAGATCATCTAAATGTCTCTTCTAAAGAAAAAAAAACAGAAAAATTGAGGCCAAAAGATAACATATTAACATAGCCTTAATCAAGCAGCAAGATAGTGGCAGTTGATTTTTTTTCCTTACTACACCCCAAGACCAGCAACTATAAACAAAACAACATGAATAATATTAATTATCAGTATTTAAACTGAAACAATCATTAGGTAATTTGAAAGTACAAATGAAGGCAGTCCCTAAGCTAACAAATTTACCAAGAGATAGAGTGAAAGGTAAATATGTAATACATAAAGCATATATCCTATTGAGTCTATTTTTTCTTACTTTTAACACACTTCCGTGAAAAAATACATCCAAAAATTCAACCTTTCCTTTTTCCCCCATGTATAATCCCAACATTCAGTTTAAATTTTTATTCTCAACTCCCACAATATTCAAAGTATACTTTTTAAAAAAATAAACATTAATTCATATAATAAATAAAAGGATCACCTTGTTTTAAGTCAGTCTGTTGACCTATTTTAAACATAAGGAACAAACTCTGGAGGGTATTTCTGTAAGTAAACCTCAGTAAAACATCCCTACGTAACCATTAGGCGTTTGAATCAGTTCTAGCTTACAGTGCTTCTCAAATTCCACCTCCTGAAAATGCAGTTGAGACACAGATGTTATTGATGTTTCCCCATCTGCAGCTACTTCTTGAGACAAGCTATGAAGATGCCAGAGAAGTCATGTTATTCAAGCCAAAAACCATTAGAGCCAGAAAGAAGCCAGTTTAAGTTTCCTGTATTCATTGCTCCCAAATGCATCTTTTTATACTGTGATGCTCGCACTTCACCAATAGACTTCTCAGCTTCATAGAGAGTAAAAGCAAATAATTACGAGTATAAACCCTTAAGGACTATATCATGGTAATTTTATATACAACCCTATTTATAGCCGATGAACTAAAGATGTAGACTCCAGCAGAGGGGTTCAAAGAAAAACTAAGGCATTCAGAAGAAGAATGTTAATCACTGGTATAACCACAAAGCCTTTTTAAACTGTATAACTGTTATGAGATCCTGCTCTCCATGAGAATTACATCAGCTGGAGTGTAAAAAGACCCCATGTTTGTCCTTGATAATTTGAAACATTATGAGCTATTTTACTGTCACATTACCTCTGCTTTCCTTTGAAACATTTAGAGGAGCTATACCCTTATTTTCACTGCAGCAGAAGCTTATTATCAGTCTTCATAAGAAACAAACCATTAACAATACCTAAACTTAAGCTGTAGCAGTATGCAGCTCAGGATAATATTCAGTTACCATGGAAGTTTGCTTAAGTGAGACATGCAAAAATGCTTCTAAATTTTCAGCCCAAACCACTACTGCAAACACATTGATAAAAATACAGAACAGATTATCACTAAATACATTAACTAGCATACATTCAGAAGTGAAAGAAAAATATTATGTGCAAGCATACAGCATACATATGTACAGGAAAGAGACCCAATAGACTCCATCTCATTTCTTAGGAAAGAGAACCTTGAAATTAGAAGGGACTGAGGGGTAAGAGGAAAGATGACAAATACACTTAAGTAGTTCATATTGCTAATGTGCAAAGAGCCATACAAAAAGAAATTAAAGAAATATCAATACACTCTAAAAGATGTCAAAATAGAAAACAAAACTAAGAAAGGCAAGCAACATATGAGGTCATATGTTGTAATGATGATGCAAGACTGCCATCTAACCTGAGGAAGACCTTGCACAGGAGAAAAATATAAGGTGCAAGCAAGAATAAAAAAATACATAGCCCATCTCCACCACACAATGGAGTACAGTACAGACACCCCAAGTTAGTGCTGGAAATAGAACAATATAGTTGTACTAGTGCAACGTAGTTTTCAGCACAGTTAATTAGATCTGGCAATGGTGCTAATAAGCCTACAAACAATGCTACTGTAGTACAGCTATACTTCTCCCAGAACCTTAGCTAATTCCTCATATCATGTCATTATAGTTATTCGTTGCCACCCATACATACAAGTGGTAACTAGTTCATTTGGAAGGTGGTACAGAGCAAAATAATTTGGAATAAAATACTAAATACAGCTATCAGTCTCAAACTTCAGCTAGCATTTTTAACTTCTTTTTAAAAACACTTCGAAGTACTTATTCTCTTCCCAAGTTGCTTGATTACTAACATCTGGGCTGGACAAGAATGTAAATATTCAAATCATGCAAGAAGACGACAAATATTTTAACATCCTTAGTTTCTGCTAATGAAAAAATAGTTGATAAAAATATTTGCACTAATACTCCTTAATTCACAGGCATAGCAAGTGACAGGCAGAATGAAAAAGCACCCAAGAGCTTAATCCTTGATTGTCTAGACTAGGATTCCAATGTATGCAATATTTTCTATGAAAGATTTTGGACTAATGTATAACCATCTAATGGAGATACAGAAGGTACCACCACTTCATTCAGCAACCATGACAATACATATAGCATCATGACTATCAAAAAAAATTCTTCATTTTCATACTACATATGTCAAAGATACTGATATAATGTGTTTTGTGAAGCAGTAAACTTGCTGTCAAAGTACACCTCAAAGTATCCCTGGAAGACCAATTCAGTAACAAAGACCAAGAGAGACAAATAACCAGTTCCCTAAGAGATATGCTAAAACAGTGGGAAAATTGGTCAGACTCATATCTGCTACAGAGGAGCACCTATTTAACCACTAAGCAAGTTTGCAGTTACGGGAGCACAGCTAAGAGACTTGGCAATTAGCACAGGCTGGGTAGCATGGGGGACGATGAGCAGGAGACGGACAGAGTTTTCACAGAGAGTCTGTAGAGGCAAGAGCCTGAGCCACGTGATGCAAGGAAGGAGGGACAGCTAGAGGTTATGCTTTTGAACGAGTGGTAGATGGAGACTCCCAAGATGGGGGAGACTGGAAGCTTGTGACTTCTGGCAGCAGGAGAAAGGCTCCCTCTCTGCCTGCAGATCTGAATGTACAGAATTGGTACAGTGCCCTGGTAGTCAAAGAGGAGAAACCAGCTCTGAAAGAGCATTAGCACCAAGAGGGAACACTGGGTGACTGCAGTTGGAGTCTCCCTTCTGCAGGGGACAGAGGCACCCATCTGCTGAGCAGACATAAGATCATCAAATAATTCAGGTTGGAAGGGACCTCAGGAGGGCCCTAGTCCAGCTTCCTACTGAAAGCAGGGCCAACACTGAATTCAGACCAGGTTGCTCAGGGCTTTATTCAGTCTGGTCTTGAAAACATCCAAAGACAGAGACTGCACAACCCCTCTGGGCAACCTGCTTGATTGACCTCATCATGAAAAAATTTCTCCTTATATCCAGTCTGAACCTCTCTTGTTTCAACTTATGCCCATTGCCTCTCATTTTCCCACCATGAACCACTATGAAGAGCCTGGCTCTGTTTTCTTGTAGGAGGGGGTCTGTCGCAGGTTTGTTGCTTGCTGGAGGCCCAGATCCAGGATACTACAGAGACCGCCAAGGCTCATCCAGCCCTTTGACCTATTACCCCTTACTGCTCATTCATGTGGACACTGATAACACTGCAAAAAAAGAGACCTAATGCAAATCAAGAGTGACAACAGAGCCCTGGGAAGAAGGGAGAAGCACAATGGAGCCCAGATGTTCTTCTCAATACTGCAGGTGAAGGGGAAAGGCTCAGGTAGGGGCAGATGCATCCTACAGGTTAACAGCTGGCTGCACAGCTAATGTCCACAGGATCTTAATTGAGTGAAGAGGACCACTGAGAAGGGACAAGAAACACCTGACAAAGTGGGGCATCTTTGCCAACCTGGGGAGGAGGACTTTGAACTAGGTTTGTCAGGTGATGGTGACCAAAGCCGGAAGAGAAATAAAGGAATAGGGACAGT